TTTCCTACCTTTTTAAGCTAAATTACATTATTTGAGAGAGCTGTGGGAGGAATAAAAGATACTATTTTATTTACCTTCTATTGTATCAAATGGATGCTGCAGCACTGTCATGTTGTAGGCAGCTTTCTCTCTTACACAGGTTTATCCTATCTAAAATAGAAAAATGTCTTGGGAGACTAAGTTTTAATTCTGAAGTAACATTATCTTAGAGATAGCGTGTTTTAGAGGATTTTTTCACATTATTGGCCAATAAGCTAATAACCACTGGATAACCACTGGTTAACCACTGATTTTTTTTTTGTGTGTGTGTGAAATTAGTTTCTAGGTTTTATGTCAAAAACATTTCTAAAATAGTAACCGGCTACTTTGCATTAGTTATTTTTGACATCAGAGGATTATGATATCATGGGATTTTTAAGTAATTTTTTTTATAGCTCCTGCATCTTATGGGAATTCTGAATCTACAAAGGAGCTAATTCAAAACTCTTCCCACATCTGTTTTTTTTTTATTTATTTACTAAAATGTAAATTAAACTTTGGGTTTTGGATTTTATTTATTTCTAGTATTTGCATTATTGTGGATTAATATCATTACGCCTGTGTGTGGTAATATAGACAACATAACACACTGAAATTCTCCAAAGCACATACAAGAATTTGGCTTTTAAATATCCATTAATTTATTACTACGAATATTTGTTATTGTTAAGGTTGTGCATGTTACCTAGAACATAAATGTGATTATTAAGAACTAAGATACATTCTGTCAGCTTATGATCCTTTCTGACTTTCTTGACTATTAAGGCAATACACTAAAAGGCTGTCTTCGTCCAGGAATTGGTTAGGCTAAGTAGTGCTTTCATCTTGTATTGTTTAGACACAGTTTTATGGGAAAAAAAAAAGTAAGTCTTTATTAATTGATTTGTACACTTCAAAAAGATTTAAAGTGTCAACTCTTCGTTGCAGAGTTCCTCTGTATTTTTCTGGAAAGTTTTTATAACGGTCACTGAAATTACATTGTTTTACTTAATTCTTCCATAAAAACAAAATCATGAACAAATTAAGTTCCTTTCATTGCAGAAACAGTATTGATCTTTGTATTTTGGACCTACAGAAATTGATTTTCAGCTAGTGTAAAGTAAATTAAGGAAAGAAACTATTCACAGAAGGATTACATTAATAGAATAAGTAGTAGTATTCTAGACTATATAGTAGTATTTTAGGTTTGCCTCTTTAGTGAGCCAGATTTCATTAGGAACTAGAAATCTTCTCAAGGAACATTTCCTCTTAAACATTGGAGTGTAGACTACAGTAGCAGGCAATTCAAAAGTGTATGTATTTGTTTACAGCAGCATACTACTTCTGTCTTCTGGTTTAAAATTAACCACTGAAATGAAAATTAAATATGTGTCTACATGGGTTTCTAAGCACTGGATTTCAAACACCTCCTTGGTAACAGCAGTTCCATGATTTCAGAGCTGTCCTGTGATTCTCGTGATCAAATTATAATGCACTTAGATTTATTTTTTGACCCGAAATTTTACCTGTATTTCAGTCTCTGAATCTTAACTGTATTAACAAAATGCTTTGACATGAAAACGCCTTTTTCTTGTGCGAGGAGATGGTACAGCTTCAAGAAGGAAATTGGACTGGAAACTGTATGCCGGCCTAATGCTGAATCTGTTAATGAAGTCCTTCAGGGTTTTATTGCATTGCAGTGGATTGAACTGACATTTTGTCATGATTCCTGGAGAATGCTGTCTTCCAGGAAATTTATTTTAACATTAAAAAAGGAAAAAAGGGGGAAGGGAGGGAGAGGAAGGCACCCAGAAAACCTCCTAATGATAAAACTCTCTAGGAAAAAAAGAATCAAGTCTCCACATTTTTTTCCACATTTTGCATAATGTCACTAATGAGCTACTTTTTTTTTCTTATTTATATTTTTTATACTGACAAGTGTTCTAACATAGAGTTAAACTGACAAGTGTATCTCTAGTATTGTGTTTCTAGTTTTGATAACAGCTGATTTAAGGTATTGTACTTCTTGCATGTGTAATGTGTTTGAATTCAGACTTTTCAGATCCAACTACACTGGTAAACCTCAGGTTTGTAGTTTATGGATAAGAGTAAGAATGAACCTCAGCTGTACAAAAATTCTATGTGATCTTAGGAACCAAGATGTGCAATGGTAAATGTAAGGTTTATTTTTCAAGATATGAGTAGAAACTGTTAATAAGTTTATTCATTGCTGCTCATTCACTCTTCTCTCTGTTTAGCCTTTGTTTTTTTTTTTTTTTTTTTGTGGCTCCATGTGAAGTTGAACAATCACTGTGAGTAATGGGCTAGGATCTGTTGATGTAGAACTAAATAAATCAAGTGCAAGATAACTAGAAGCATGGTAATTACATTCAGATGACTTTTTCAGATAGCTTGCAACTAATTCTGTGAATAAATATTTCTGAAGATTTGGTGTAATAGTCATGTTACATCCTTCCTATGCAGCACAATAAACTGAGGGCTTTTTTTTCAATTACCATGCAACTGCTTTTCCTTCATCATAGTGTATTTTTTATACTTAATGTTTTGATGTTTTCCCCTGTGATTCTTTATTGAAAACTTGACTAACAACTCAATGTAAAGAATGCTTAAAGAAGTAATTTGGTATAATTAAATTTTATTTCTACAACATAGTTGGATAATAAAAACATGCTAAAATGGTTTCATTATGACACTTTTCTGTATAAGAAAAATAGGACACACAGTTCATTCTGCACTATTTGTATACAAGTATGATAACATCTCCTGCAGAATAACTTCTCAGACAAAGATTTAAATTTGCAGTTGGTTACTTGTGCATCTTATCACAAAATTATCAGTGAAATATTTCTTTCATTTCTTGAAAGTTAAATGACTATTGAAAAAGATTAATTCATCCTAAGATCTCAATTCTTTCAGTGACAGCTTCTATAACAAAACATCCGTTGAAAGAGACAGGAATCACAACAAGTTTTGATAAAAACGGCATTAAAGGATAATAAATCCAGCCAGCTCATTGCCCTTTCCTTCTTCAGCCTTCTTAAACCAACTGTGAAACAGTGATTTGCTGACAGTTTTTTTTTGTTATGCTGTTTCTATGTCTGTAAAGAAAGTACGTCTTATGTCTAGACCATATGTCCTTTTTACTAATGTTCTTTAGGAAAATAAAACTGTGAGATATTAAATTAGACCTTCTCTTGTCTGTACAAAACTTGTTCAGTTTAAGAAAAGGATAATGAGCTAGCACTTTTTTCTCAGAAATGTTAATTTTTTTAATTTTCTTTTTTTGGACACTCATGGCTCTTTTTCATTTCTAAATAGTTCTACTTTGAAAAGGCCAAATTTAAACATGAGTGCCACCAAAAATAAAACTTGGCTCATACTCTCTATTAACTATTGCTAACTACAAGATTCTATATTCAAAACACGGTTAACATTTTGATATGTGAGCTGGAAAAGAACGGGCATGCTATCAAATTACATTGGCTTTGCAATTTCACTTAAGGTAAATCAATCTCTCTCATAGAAATGAGTCTGAATATTGATTAAGAAAGGGTAGATTCAATAATGTTTATTTCTTTTGTTAGACTAAAAATGACTTGTTTTATGCGAAAATATTTTTTATTTATCTACTTACCTTGAAGTAATATTAACTTATTCCAAAACAAACTGGTAATGTGTGGTCTTAAGAGCGGACTAGCTTTGGGTGAGAATGGTGGTACCTGCATGGAACAGAAATAAGAACAACTGTTAACTTAAGATGAATCACTTGGGGCAGATACATCTGTAAAACAGCCCTCATGTTACATGGAAGCTTTCGTAAAGTCTTAAATGCGGATGATACAGGAACTATTTGCATCATCGCTTGTCCTTATCGGTCCTTCATTGATACTTAAACTCAGCTGAGTCCATTTTGAGCAGTAGTCCCACTCAGTAACACACAACACACGTGCACGATGTGTTGGTGGAATGAATGAGAATATACTGCTTCTGTTTTAAGTAGATCTGCTTTCTTTTTCCAATTATATCTGTAGAAGGAACACAGCCCGTTCAGGGAAGGAAGATGTTTGTGGTTTTTTACCCAAGGTTTTATGAAGAAATTGGAGGATTTTCATGGAATATTGTACACAGCGAAGCCTGAGTATATGATTAAGCTCACAGCCTCCTTTTTTTTTTCACTGAGTTGATACCTTTCTACTGAGGGATTGCAATCACAACATGGCTTTCTTTTCTCAACCACTGCTGGCAAGCCTTCAGTAGTGGTGTTGGTTACATGGTGCTCAGTTTATCTCTGTTTTTATATATTTAGTCTCTAGGTCTGTGGATATAACATTTACAAACCCTCTCTTTTCTTCTCAAGATGTGAATCAAAAGCACTGTTAGTGATGATCTTAGATCAGTAACTTTATATAGACTGAAGTGATGGGATGCTTTATGACTTGAAATCAGAAAGAGAATAAAAGGATCAGGAATGTGTGTGCTGGGAATAGGGCATGGGTTAAGAAGATGTTGCGTTAATATATGTTGCAAGAGACAAGGAAAGCAAATGGAAGTTGTCAATTTAAGATATTACATTAACTGTCTTTTATTATGTATTTGCAATTACGTATTACAGTCTTTTGTTACATATTTGCAGTCTTCCTCTATGACTATTTACTTTCTACATAAATCATTTTCCATCGCACAATCTTAAACACACAGTGTTATCGCTACAGTTTTAGCTTAGCTAAACACATTGGCATACTTAGTTTTCCTGTATGTTTATATTTTTAGGAAATAAAACGTTTAAATTTTGTAAAACCAAACAAAACCTCCTTGAGCATTGTGAACCATCTGTAAGACAAAAAAATCAGCTTTTTAAATAGATGTGTAACTTAATTTTTTTCAGGGTGAAGGAGGGATGCAAGTCTGTAAAGGCCCTAGAGAAGAGTTTAAGTTTCACGTGTTCTCATTTCCTTGCATAGGTTGGCTGAAGACTTTTGAGGACTACTTCAGAGATCAGACACAACATATCTTAAATAACATGGTTATAAAACTACAAGAAGACAATCGAAGAAAATTTATGTGGTCTGAGATTTCTTATTTTTCAAAATGGTGGGATGGAATAGATAGCCAAAAAAAGGATGCTGTTAAAAGGTTTGAACATCTCTACTATTTGTGTTGTACTACTTGCAGAATGTTCTGAATCTTTATATGTATTTGACTACACTGTCAACTTGACTTCATTTGTTGAAATGTTGTATGACAAGAATAATCACACTATTAAAATTCTGAAAATTCTGGCTTTCCCCTCCACTCTCCCAAATTAAAAAACAAAACTCTATTTAGAGAAATGGAGCCAAGTTACTGAGTTGCTAGGGAAAAAAATGGTTGAAACTCTCCATTCCCAACCATTATGATGCTTTTCAGATTGTGAGTTTTAATTCTGAACTCTTCTGTTTGCATTGGCATAAAATTTTGGGGAGTAGGATGAAGGTAATTTTTGCATACTAGCAATTTATTTAAGATAATGTTTCATTCAATGATAGTCATGAAATCAGGGGTTTGCATCTTAAATTATATTTTTAATAAACATGCAGCTATATGAATGTTTAAAAGGTGCATACTCTACATAATTGTGTTTTTTAAAATTGTAATTCAAGAGATTTAAGTAGGCATTGAGACAAGGAAGCATGCTGCTTGGATAACTTCTGAGTAAGGATCTAATTTTGATATACTATCCTTGCAATTAAAAATATATGTACTACATATGCTATATTGATATTAATATTAACATATTTATATATGTTTTTTATATATAAATATAAACTAAAATGCCTTAGTTGGGTCAAGAGCATCCCTTCAAGATGCACTTTGTGTAACTAAAGCTGCAACATACATTAAAGTTAATGAGAGCCTCAGAGCTGCAAAGCTTTGGTGTTCCTGGAAGTCTTGGGTTTTGTACAGAAAACTATCTGATTAAAAAGTTGTTACAAATTGTGAATTTTAGGACACTGTGGGTTTTCAAGATTATAAAATCTCTTGGAAAACAAAGGGCAGGTAAACAAAATTCACTAGGGAACTGTGTACCTCTTGCTTCAGGTAAATCATGGATTCATTAAACTACTTACTAGTTATAGAAGAGTTGCAGAAACATGCATGGGAGATTATTTTGCGGTATTTTTTTTTTAGTTTTATGGGCGTTATTTATGTTTTGAGTATGTGCTGATATGCCTATTGTATTTCTTTCTTGAACTCATTAATCAGATATGCAGTAGGGTACGCTGTGCCAAAATATATAATTAACTGTAAGGAATATCTTATCCTGGAAGCATGATTATTAGGTCCATGAACATTTTTTAAAAAGATACTAGATTTTTCTGTTATCTGTTTCAATAGGGTGATCTTTATAGATATAGTAAAAGTTCAAGCTCTGTTAGCTTTCAGAAAAAGTAAAATAAATGTTCTATCATGAGTAGCAAGTATTAGTAGTGCTAGAACTGCCAAATATATGCACATCTGACTTAGTTGGTCTTTAGTACTGTGCAGTGGTTTATTTTCATAGTCTTTGCAGGAAATAGCCTTCTTTCTGAAGAAATGCAGCAACAACAAATGTTCTATGGCACAGGCAGAATAGTAGATAGTTTTATATTTTTACCTGCGTATTTATTAAGAATTTTGCTTTTTGCGTACTCGTTCTTTTTCTGCTCAGTTAAAGAAAAGGGGGAAAAAAAAAAGAAAAAAAGGGCCTCTATTGCACTAGGACATTCAGTTTAGATTTTGGCATTGTTTCCACAGTAAATCTCATATGTATTCAGAAATTGATTTTAACAGTATATTTTCACAGAGACTTTCTAAGCATAATCTACCTTTTCTTCCATTCAGGCTAATAAGAGATGGGCAATTTGAAATAGTAACAGGAGGATGGGTTATGCCTGATGAAGCCTCTGCCCACTACTTTGCTATAATTGACCAGCTAATAGAAGGACATCAGTGGCTAGAAAGGAACTTGGGTATGTTGGTTTAAAAGATATTTTGCTATGTTGATGCAGAAAGTCAGTTAGCAATTCATTCTTCATATTTCTGAGGTGATTAAAAGGCTTTGCTTATTATGCTATTCTGAAACATTAAATCAGACGATTTAGTGTAAATCTCAGGGTTGAGCCTAGTATTTGCAATTTCTTTTTACAAATAAAGCTTTTTGAATAAAGTATATTTAAACTTTTTTTTCCCTTGTCCTAGCACTTTAATGAATAAAGATGTGCATAATATATAAGTGTAATAATATGCAAAATTAAATCATGCTACGTTAGTTCACATGGTTCTGGTATCACAAACTGTTTTTAGGACTACCATTTCTGGTATTTGGAAATCATGAGTAAAGCGTTAAAATCATTTGATTTAAAAATCAATATGCCTTCTGTGTTTTTGAATTTATTCCGAATATTAACTAGGTTCTTTTTCAGATAAGCTTTTAAAAATTAAATATGAAAATTTAGTAATAATGATAAGACCTTACCTGCCTTGTTATCTGTTAGAATCATTTTCATTAAATTAAAAAAAAAAAGTTCATATTTGCTTTTGGAAGATTGCAGAAAGCTGAACAACTCCAGGACTGGTGACATTACTAAGTACCTGAAATAGAACTGACTGAATTATTTTGGTGGGTGTGGAAGATTTTTCTGGTTTAGTTCCATAATTAGAGATAATTCTTTCTAATTGCCCTTTTTTTGTGTGCGAAATATATGTATAAAGAGTTTAGCAACAGCATTACTTCATTTAATGGAAATTATCATTTTGTTATATTTTTCTTGAAATGCAATTTCTATAAATACTGTTAAGCATAAATACGATTTAGAAAAAATGTTAGAAGGAGTAAAAAGATAATACACTGCCTACTTCTATTTTCAGTGTAGGGTAGGAGAGAGTAGGAATAGATATACTTACTGAATTGATTTAACAAAAGTTAGATACAGCTTTCTAATTTCTGAGATGAAATTCAGTGGAAAGACAGTAGTAATTGACTGGATTCTAGTGACTGCTAGCCAAGTAAATCAATTCGTTTTTGAAAGAGAAGTTAAATCTAATGCTAGCAAAGGTTAAAATTATTGAAATTACATAAATTTAAATTTATAATACCTATCTGTCCTGCATTTCTTCACTTTCTTTCGTTTTTCATTTCTAGTTGTAACATCTGGAAAAACTTTAAAATGAAAGTGAAATGTATTTTGTTATGTTTCCATGTGAAGTTAAATATTTCAGACAAAGGTTCTGAGAGTGTAACAATGTAGAGGGTTTTTTATGTAATTAGTCAGAGTGCCCTGTCCCTAACATGTTTGATTTTACAGAACTACTTATCTATTAAATTCTGGAATGTTAATTCCAAATTATATTCTTATGGAGACTTGATTGCCTGTATTTTTCTTTTTGCTTTTGGGAAATTTCATTCTTAGAGTTTTGATTTAAATTATATTGATATTGTTTACTTAGAGTTGAAAAGTAAAACCTTTTTTCTTCCCATTCTACTCTTCCTTTTGTCAACAGGAGTAAAACCGAAGTCTGGCTGGGCTGTTGATCCTTTTGGGCATTCCCCGACAATGGCCTACCTTTTGAAACGCACAGGATTTTCCAATATGCTTATACAGAGAGTTCACTACTCAGTTAAAAAACATTTTGCAACTCAGAGAACACTAGAATTTTTTTGGCGACAGAACTGGGGTATGTTTTTTTTTTTTCTTTTGTCTCAATTTGTTGCTTTATTATTGATAAAGGCGCAAAAAAGAGAAAATTAAAATCTTTAAAGAAATAGGTTATTTGCACAAGTCAGTAGGTCTTAAAAATTATAAAATTGTAGTTTTCTTGTTTTTAAAAGAAAGTCTTGTTTAAAAAATTCCTTTTGTGCTGGGGAAGGCGTTAAATATAAAAGCCGTAGTGTTGTCACTGTTCCTCTGATCTTTACTTCACTTTCAGTTCTGTTTATACTGTTTTCTCCTTTCTTTTCCATAGACCTCTCTACAAAATACTTACATGGGAAATGGAAAAACAGTTATGGGCTTTGATTCACTTTTCCATTTTCCATTTTAAAACTTCAAATACAAGATACACCTACGTTTCAAACATATATCTTAAAAAAAGTGTGGAATTTTCTCTTTTCCTTTTCTCACATCTTTGCTTTCTTCCTGCTGTTTCACCACCTGGTGGTTATATTTAGTGAGGAGATGCAAGGAAATAAAGTGGAAGTAAAAAGGAACCTTTTCCTTAAATGACAGGAATACTGAATGTTCGATGAAGATAGAAGGGTTTCTATTCCAATCTTACTATGGGAAAAGCTTCACACAACCATGTTTTCTCCGAATGTATAAAAAATCAGTCTCATTAGTTATAGCAGCTTTCTCTAGACTTGAAACATGTAGATTATCTTTAGTCAGAAAAATTGATTTAAAATACTTGTTTTTAATTTGCAGTGAAATTCTCAAAACGTTTTGTTAGAATAAAGATAATTGCTTTCTTGATATTATTTATATATTACAGAATATGAAAGATAATTAAATAAGGTAGCAAGGATGTCTGCAAACTGGTGTCTGAAAATGTCTGTACTTTCTGATAAAAATACTATGTTTTGTTTTGCACTGTACCAGCATTTCACTAAGTAGTAGGACAAATGTTTGCTGGTGTATTTTGTTCTTGTAGCTTTTAAAAATAAGCTAATATGTCGCTGCTTTATCAATACAGGGTAAATCAAAGGTATTTTGTTCTTATTGATGAAAGGTAGTAGCGATTATAAAGTTTTCCAGTTCCTCTGTTTTATTCAGAGAATATTAAGGCGGAAGAGGGAATTCAAAAAATGTAGTCTCGCTCACAAGCAAATTTTAGTGGAGTAGAAATGTTACACTATCCAAAATGCCGTCCATAACTGACATTTTGGAGGTTTTCCTTGTAATATTAATATATGTCCCTCAGTGTACATAAAGTAAGTAAATACAGTTGATGTGACTTTCTCTAAATGGTTGTGAGCTTAAACTCTTAGATGATAGGCTGTAATGCTTGGGCTTCCAGAGTCATATGGCCTTTTGAACAGGTCTTTAGCTCGGATGTTTTCACAACTGTTTCATCTAAAGTTTAACCTTATAGTCTTAATTTAAAGCAATGAGAGTTGACTATTGTTTTTGACTGAAAAACACAGCATAATTGTAATCATTTGTTTTGCTATAATTCTTCTGGGATGAGATTTTTGTCAGATGACAGTTTGTTGAGGCAGCTTGTTGGCTTCTTTTCTCTTACTAGTCCTTGTTTCAATCCTTTCTGCTGCTATTTTACTCTGAGCAAAATTTCAGCTGTAGTGCTCAGGATCTCTTTCCATCCTCTTTGTGATGAGTGAGGAGACAAGAAACTATATAATTGGGTCCTGTACATGGAGAGAAAATTCCAGTGTTGATTGAATTAGCTGCTTAAAAGGGCGGTAAAATTATTACCGATTTTCCTTCATTTTGGCTGAGTTTGGAAAAAAACAAATAGTGTTAGCATGATAAAAAGGAAAATCTGCCCCTTGATTTCTACTCCCGCCTTGCTTTTCCCATCCCAACAAGTTTAAAGCTTCTGAAAACTTCTGATTGTGAAATGGCTGTTGTGTAACTTGCTTTCATTAATCTGTTTTAAAAACAATTTTCATTATGATTCCCATTTCACAACTTTCCAAATATTGTTGCTATATGTTATAGGGAACAAAAGCTTTTAGACTTCTTTTATTTGGAAAATTTAATTGTACTGTAAAATATTTAAGCACTTGGTAAAAACTTGTGACAAACTCCAAGCTTATATGATCAATGATCACATCACGTTCATCTGCCAAAATATGCAAAGCGGATTCCAGAGAGATGAAAGTTCTCACAGTTGAAAGGAAAATGCATATATTTATGGGTTATCAACTATTAAGTAATAAATTGTTTGTTAGCAAAAGGTATAGAGTGGTGCTGTAGGGCTTCTGTTCTTATGGCTTTTGAAGAACATTCGCATATGTGTTGTTGACTTATTCTTCTTGGGAGCCAGGTGCTGCAGCCCATCAATCATGTTTGTCCCTTATTTCCATATCAATTCTTCCTGTGTTCTTAGTGCTATAAAACAGTCATCCACATTCAGGGTGCGTTAACAGATGAGTAAAGGTAAAACTGTCCTTAAAGTGAAGTTTTGAGAGACTTTCTTTTGAAATGCTTTAATAAAAAAATGTGTGTTTTGTTTGAGCTAGAAATTTAGCTCTGTCTCCTGGTGTGATAAAGTTCATACTTTAGGGAATGGGCTGACTATATGACTAGAAAAGTTAGGATTGCAAAAACAGTCTGAAGACTTTGACACAAGTCTGTAAAATCATGGTATTAATGTATTGAAGATTCAAGGAATTAAGATAACTGTTTAAACCAGTTCAAATGTATTAACGAAGTAATGACTTTTTATGTAAAGTACATTTTTCTTCGCCTTTAAAGTTCTAGAAATAATGAAATTATCTGGATTAAAAAAAAACCAGCTAACACTTGTTCGCTTCAAATCAGGCAGTACTTGATAAAGCCATGTCAGTCTGTGGTGTTAGTTCTATTTTTTAGACTGTTTTACTTAAGGCTGATAAGGAGAAAAGTTTGTCTCATCTACAGGTATGCATGTTCAGAACATGAAATGTCTTGGTCTGATGTTTTTAAATAAAGTCTTTGGGACTATGAAACTGATTTAACTTTAACAAACCTCAAAACATTTACCTGCTCTGTGTATTTAATTGCAGATTTGGGATCCAGTACAGATATCCTTTGTCATATGATGCCTTTCTATAGCTATGATGTTCCTCATACATGTGGTCCAGATCCAAAAATCTGTTGCCAGTTTGATTTTAAACGTCTTCCTGGAGGAAGAGTGAGTTGTCCATGGAGAGTTCCACCAGAGGCCATTCATGCTGGGAATATTCAACACAGGTACGATTTATTATGTTTTGGAAGTGTATAACTTTTTTATGCTGATCAAAGAATCTATCTAGCAGTCCTCGAAACAACTTGACTACAGGAAAATAATACCTATAACTTGCCTTTTGTTTGCACTTAAGTTCAGAACATAATTGACAGTGAAACTTATAAATAGGTTCTGACTATGGAAGATGCATTTAATATTTTTTCTATTCATGGTTCATAAGTCTCTTTCTCTAATATCCTGGGTGAATGCCATACTGAATATTGACTTGATGAATTTACTGTCTTCTTTGTTATGCAGTTGAACCTTGCTGAGCATTGACTGCAGAACAGCTGCTTTTGCTTTTGTAAATAGGAGCTAGGGGGGGAAAAAAACTTCTTCAAGAATACCTAATGTGGAATATTGCTTAAGCCTTAAGCTCATTTAACTTTCTAAAATGCTTTATCGTTTTCTTTTCCTCCCCCCCCACTCCCAGTTTTGCCTGCCCTACCCACCTCAACTCAAGAATTCGAACATTGTGGGATTCATGTATTCATCTATTTTTCTTCCTCTCCTCCTGCACACTTCTTAGCTTAAATCTGTTTCATCTCCACGGCTCTATTTGGGTTTGATTAATCCACAGAAGAGACTTTAGATCCAAAAGTTGATAGATATGTAACCAGCATATTACTGTAATTTTTGTGGATATTATCTGTAGCCAGTGATTTGTCTCCTGTCAGTGATCACTTGAAGATTGAAGGGAGAGCACAGTGCAGTTATACTATTCACTAATTTCAGTATAGTAAGTTACTTTCTAAGCTATATCCTCACAGCTTGTTAATCTGTAGCTTGTCTTCCTGAGGTAGACACTTCTAAATGAATTTGTGTCTTGTGTCTTCAGATTCATTTCTCTTTTTATTTTTTTAAAAGATAGAAATGGCAAGTTGCTATGCCATTGGTAAGAATCCAGTTTTACAAAACTACCTGACAGCATTGAAAAAAAAAATCCTGAAAGGAAATGTTGAAATGTTAAAGGTCTGTTTTTTGTTTGTTTGTTTTTGTGTTTGTTGTTGCTGTTGTTTATTCCTCCAGAAAGATTCATTCCCATGCCCTGTTTACAATCTTTATTTCTTGCATTATTTAAACCTTTCATGAATTCAAGAATTAGGAGTTTAGGTAGGTATGTGTTTAGGATTAGTGCAAATAGTTGAGAGTAGCAAATATATCAAGAATATCAAGGGTAACTTTTGGCCTTGATGTTGAGATTTTCAGATGAGCAGCTGTCGTTAAAAATGATTGATGCAATATCAAGTATATACGATGCACAAGTCAAGTTTTTACAGCTTTTCTGAGTATACTAATAGGAATTTTGCTAAGAATTTTGAGATTTTTCTTTTGTTATTACATTTCAATTGCAAGCTTTTACTGGAGATAAAAGCAGAAGCATCACGATTGTGATATTTTGGAATGAATTTGGAATAGTGGTGCGAAAATGTCATTTTCTTTAAAAATAACCAGAAATTGAAGGTGACAAGCAGAATTAGAGCTGACAACACAGTCATTTTAGCACAGCCCAGTACTTATCAATTTTGAGTAAAAGATGATGTTTCTTTAGGTCACACTTACTAAAAAAAAATCCTGAAGAAATAGGGCAAATAAACAGGAATTTTTGCTTTTCTGTTTAACAAATAACTTGAATAAGTAGGCTGTGAGGATATGTAGAGAACCAACTAGGGAACTTATTTATTTATTTATTTATTTTTGACAAGTCTTAACTTATCCTTGCACTTTTAAGATACTTTTGCATACTACTGTAAGCTAGACTTTGTAAAAGAATTGAAAGTAGTAGTTAATGGTTCTTCAGTTATGTGAAATAAAAACAAGAATGAAATAGGGTAAATGGGCAGTAGGGTATGACCAATTTTTAGTCGTATGTTTCCCAAAGCTGGATCAATACTTTGCATCAGATTTCAGTAGATCCGTGTCTAATGGAATAGGTACTATCCTCCCAGCAAAGGGATATAAATAATACCTATGGAGAAAGTAAAACAAACCGATTGTCTTTTGATGGATCCTTTGAAATCAGAAAACTGAAAATAACATGCATCTTTCTTCTTTGATAGCATACTTTCAAATTCATTAAAATGTAGGAAATACTGAAGAATACAGAAAAACATTACTAGTATTTTAAGCAGAAGTGGGAATGTTACCAGATAATTTTCTGGTCTGACTTTTCTAACAAGAGTCATAGGACTTTTATAACTCCTATGAAAAGGAGGTTTGAGAGATACAGAATTAAATATAAAATCATATCACAAGCATAGCAAGGTAAAGGTTTCTCTCTGTTTGTAGCTTTGTAAAGGTTTGTATCTGGCTGCCTATTCTTTTAAGATTGAAAAATGAAATTGTGTGTATACAGTGTGGAGCTGAATAAAGCATTTGATACATAATTCATCAATTCAGTGGTAGAGTTTAATTTGCTGATCTTTCTTCAATGCTAAGATTGCACTCAAAAAGCAGATCTATTCAGCTGGGATTATAACTCTGGATTTTAGTACTATTATGGCTATAGCAATACAAAGAAGAAATACAAAGATGAGAAGTCAAGACTAGCTGGTGGATTTATAATTGTCCTGTGGCTTTAGTTGTGATTGGATAGGCATGAATGATTCAGCAGTCTTATTAGAAGCTTGCACTTAGTGAACTTAGTTACACTTCTGTAACTGTTTAGGTTATAAAGATTGTTGTTGTGTATGCCCAGTCCCGCAGCTGCATCCTAATCACATCTTTTTGCTTGAATGCTGACTTCTAACTTTTCAGGAAAAGAAAAAAAAAAAAAAACAATGCCAACAAAAAGAAATCTGTTAATACTTGAATTACAAGATTAGTTCACACTAGTAAGAAATAACAGCTTTTTTATGATAATGAATTGTATTTAGAGTAGAAGCATAACTTGTTTTGATGTATACCTTCTTTGTCATGCATGAAAATAGAAGTCTGTGTGGCAGGTTTATATACTACAGAGTAGAAGACATGCCTCGTCTCCAAAAAATCCTGTCTGAGCGTTTCTGTTTACTCTTTTCCTCTCCTCTCTGAAATAATGTTTTAAAATGTTCTTAGAGAACAACCTAAATCTTTCTAAGAGAATATACAGTGATTTTGAGACATCTCATATTCTTTGCTGTTTTGCAACTGAAATTGGTTTGCAGTAGAAGATCCTGCTGCCCTGTTTCAAGCACCTAGGAATTCAATAGGAAAAGGTGATTCAGGGACAGGGACAATGCATTGGCATTGAGTTTTGCAGTAGATTTGGAAAGAAACTGGGTAGGGCTTGGAGGAGAGATGTCGCAGTCAAATATCCTCATAGCAGTAACCTTTCCTGAAGTCTTTCTCAAGAGGCTCTACAATAAAATATTTTCCTAACCATATGGGAAATAGGAGACTGGCTTTTTAGAAGGGAGAATTACCCAGTCTTCTCTGTGACAATTTTAGTAGTTCTTGGAGAGGAAGACTTATTTCCTATGTTAGGCAGTTTACTGTTGAAGGTCATTGAAAGAAAATGATTCAGGCATACATATTTTATAATTCAAATTACACGATAGAGGCAGGGAGTGGGTAAAGCTGCTACACTGATCTATATGCTACTTTCCACATCCTTAGCTTAGATCCTTAACTAAAGCTCCTGTGCCATCCCAGTAAATTCAGACCTTGTGTTTACTCGAAGTTCTTTAGAACAGTTAAAAAGCAAATGCCCAGACTTGTTGATTAGACTGGAAATCCATATTTCTCTATAAGGGTTGTTTAAATTCTCACAGAAATGTTCGTATAAGTATTAAAAATCTTCAAGGGTGTGAAATAAAAGTAGATGCTAGTAGTAATCCATGTTTGTAGAAACAAAAGCTCACTGGAATCTGGAATTGCAACTTCTTTCTCTTTAAAGTGTTTTTCTCATTTACAAATATATTACTGCAATTTATATTTGCTAGTAAAATTATTTCTGCACCTTTATTTAGAGAAGATCACCACCTGAAGTCTTCAGTAGTGGTTGAGAGCCTTGGGGAAGGGGAAGGGAAAAAATGAGCGTTTTCACTAATCCAGATATCTGACTTGTGACTTTAATTGTATTGCTGCTTAATGAGAGGACCGATATTTTACTTACCAAAGAGTCAGTAAGTACTGAAAGAGAGTTTTACTACCTTTCCTGCACAGAAGAAATGGGATAGGTTTAATCTATCAGAACATGAGTAAAGGATTTGATACTACGGCATGAGAAATCATTAGTAAAGCTTAAGAAGACTGATAATAAGACAGTAAGACAGGCTGAAGAGAGAAAAATGATTGTTAGCCTTGCAAAAAAAGAATTCTTATCAAGATAATTACTGAATTTCAGTAGTTATCTTCAAAGATTTATTTAAGGACTCTTTTTGGGTCAGGGACAGGAAGCTGAGTGTCCCTGTAAATTACCAAAGGGGTCAAGAAGAGCTTGCTTATTCGTTATTGTAAATAAAGGTTGGAGAGGATTGGCATTGTTATCTAAATCTCAAGCAGGTAAACCTAATTTAGACTAAAGGTTAGTTTTGGCACAGAAACAAATTGATGCAGATTGACCTGTTTAAGATGGAACTTGGTAAGTTTACGCAAAGTTTTAATTGACTTAGTGTCTGCAACTGTGATAGGCTGGATCTGATGCCTGGTGCAGGGAATTGCATCCAGATTTTTGTCCAGAAAAGGAATAGAAAAAAAAAGATATCTATTTGATATTAAAAAAAAATAGTCTCATACTGACCTTTATTATTCTGTTTTCTATATTGTATTTTTTTTTCCCAAGGGCTTGGATGATTTTAGATCAATACAGAAAGAAGTCAAAGCTTTTTCGTACTAAAGTTCTATTGGCGCCACTAGGGGATGATTTCCGCTATGCTGAGAGCTCAGAATGGGATCAACAGTACCAAAATTATCAGAAGCTGTTTGATTATATGAATTCTCATCCTGAGTTGCATGTCAAGGTAAATACAATTTTTTTTTTCTATTTTGTGAAGAAAACAATCTTTCTAGGTAAGTTGAGATTCCAGGGAAGCAAGTAGATAAATCTTGACAGATTACAGAATCACAGAATGGTTAAAGTTGGAAAGGACCTCTAGAGATCATCTAGTCCAACCCCCGTGCTCCAGCAGGGACACCTAGAGCATGTGGCACAGGGTGGCATCCAGGCGGGTATGGAAGTTCTCCAGAGAAGGAGACTCCACAACCTCTCTGGGCAGCCTGTTTCAGTGCTCTGTCACCCTCACAGGAAAGAAGTTCTTCCTCATATGAAGAAGTGCAGGTTTATGAATTACTTTATTATTAGTTTAAGTTTATGCTGAGTTGTTAAGAAGTTATGCTAGAATAGCATACAAATACAATCAGCTTACATTTTTAACACTTTCTGATGTTAATTTGAATTATTTCTCTTACAGTCTTTTCTCACGTAATTGATGTGTTGAGGTTTGTCACTTATAAATGATTATATGTATTTCATTATTAGAAACTTGGGGAATTGTATTGCTCTTTTTTGGATCATGTTCTTTTTCTCCCCACCTCCTCTGTGACTTCCCTTGTTCCTTGGCCTGCAGATCTAGTTAGCATCTGCAGTACATTTGTTCCTCATGCTGACTCCTGGCTTTTTTTCTGCATAAGAAAGATCTCTTGAGGTCGTTTTCAGTATGTCTGTGTTGGATTTTACCTCTGTGGCATATGGGATATGGATGACATATGATATATCTGAGTGCACATCATATCTTAGGGAGATAGAGAGGTCTAGAGAGTACTCCTCGTTCATATTTTAAACAAAAGCATGTTGTGATCACTAGCTTCTCTTTTTAAAACAATTTATAGAGTGTGCATGCAGGTCATTAGTCTTACTCTCCATAGTATCAATTTCCTCTAGCCTGGACTAACTGATCTCCAGGGCAAAATTTGAAGGCAATACCTCTGATGTGGTTCTTCAAAAGCACCTGCTAGGCTTAGCTGTCAGAAAGATTCTCATCTAAAAGGTTCTGCATAGTCATTGTCAAGGTTTCCAGGAGTATACTTCATGAACCCTATCTTCCCAACCTGGATTAGAGCCTTGTGGTAGAACCAGCTTTCAGAGCTCTTTTGGAAACAACATCCAGATCTGTTCTAGTTTTTAATAACTGGGCCTAAACTGGGCCTGGACTCCTCTAGTTCTTCCATGTCCATGTTGTTTTGGTCAGTTGGAGTTAGAGTTTTGGCATTGGAAACTTAACTCCTTCATGGTTTGGGGTTTTTTTTGTTTGTTTTGTTTTGAAACCACTGTCATTTATCTTTGGAAATAAGAGCTTAGCAGCAGAGCTGACTCCTTGTGCCATCCTTCCTCTGTGGATTCTAATTACACAGGCAAGTAAGAGTTCAGGGTTAACTTCCTGAAAACCTAGATTAAATAAAAGAAGAGTTCATGTTTCTGCCTTAAGAACTGCTATGATGGCTAGGATATTACTACTTACACAAGAGGCTGCTTATCCTTCTGAGCTTGTGAGAGGTTTACCCTTCTCGGAAATAAATTTCAGACCAGGTTGTTTATCCAATCAATTGGAACTCTCCTGCCAATAGCTTTCCTACGATCCTAAAAGTATCTGTTCAATTACTGTGAAGAATACCTGTTCTCCCTTTAGAGAAGGTTTAACATCCTTTTTGGAGATCATATTTACATGTATTCTGGAAAAATCAAGCTGAGACTTTTCATGTGCTTGTAGAAGAGTCTACGTGCTTTTCATCCCCTCAGTTTTTCCTTTAAGTGAACTTTGTTGCATTTTATTCAATTTTGCCTGTGTGCTCTGGTGAGTTTCTGACCTCTGGGGTAACCCAGCATAGAGAAGAGAGGACAGAGATATCTGATATTTTTAAATCTTCTATATCTGATATTTTTTAATCTTCTAAATTACCTCTTGTAGGCAGTTGTGATAACAAGGGAAAGGCTTAAAGTGTCTACCTAAGAAAAGGTTCACTTATATTGGTATTTCTGTGGCAGTATGTTTATTTCTCTGCTTTGCTGTAGTTCGCAGATTCTGTTCATCTAACAAGTCATTGGATCTTTTGAATGCTTTTGAAGAGACACTGCTTGGTAAACCATCAGACCTTAAGCCTGTGGATATTTCCTGGGACTGAGTGGAGCTAGGTTCCCTCAAGACTGATTAATTTTTGTATGTTCTAGGGGAGTTTGTTCTTAACTTATGTTTGTTCGTTGTGCACCATAGGGCAACAGGTACTTGTATAGCTGCACAGACAAGGTTCACTTCTCAGTCTTCAGATGTGATCCTCTGCCTGATTTCCTGGTCTGTTCCCTTTCTCTAAGAGGGAGACTGGTCTAGATGGCATCTCTATCCCATAACAGAAGAGGAATGCTATTTCACCACTCCTTTGATGTTCTAGTCTTATTTTTCAAAATCAGAACAGTAGCAAAAGAGTTTCTTTGTTTTGGTGGGTGCACCGACACTTCAGATTTTGCAGTCGGAGAGGGCATTTTTACCTCAGCTCAAGGAGTTAACATCAAGATTTTCGTTCTTAACAAACTGATATAGTTCATATCTTTTTCTTTCTCAAGAAGTGGCAGATCTGGATGCCTGTACTGGATGCCATCTTAAATTTCATCCTTAAAAAAAAAAGTAAAAAGCTGTATCTGGTTTAAGTGACTGTGATGCATTAAAAAGCATAAATGCATATGAACAGTTCACCTTGAACTCAAACTTAGTACCTAATTTCATTTTTAGTAATACACTGAATGCTTTCCCTGTATCTCTCCGATCTGTAACGTTGCAAATCAGGTTATGCGGCTGTCTGTGGTAGATGAAGTGGTGTGTTTGACACTCAGTTGACTGTTGCTACTAGTTGACTACTTGCAAAGGTTGGAGTATATATACCCTTGAACAGTATAGCTTCTTTTGTCTTGAAATTATTCAGCATTAGTTTGAGTTATGAGATCTAACAGTGAGCATCAAATTAGTGTACCTTTACAAGCCAATCTTAAAAGTGTGTGTGTATATATAGATGTGTGTATATACATATATACGTATATGTATATAAAAAAACATAAAGGAGAAGAAATTGCAGCCACAGAGGAAAATGTTAGGAATTATAATCAAAAGGTTTGAATTACTAAGAGCAATGTATTTCCTCCTAAAGTTATACCTTTATTTTTGGTATGAATTTAATGGAGGCTAACAGGTACTATTATAAATTCAATTAACTAAATTAAACACTAAAGATAACATTAAAATTCTCTCATTTTGTAAAAAGTGTTTTTTTTTTCTTTTTTAAATGCTGTCATAAAGCATCCTAATGTACAGAATAATGCATCTTATATTCCAAATCACATTTTTTTTTCTATCAAAACCTTTTTTTTTTCCAGGTCATTTAAATTCATGGTTTATTACAGGGATTACTTCTGTGCTATCCCCACTTCCATTAGTTATTTTTTCATCTCACTCAATTTCTCATTGTTGGCAACCTTGACAATATCTTTACTGCTATTCCTTTTTTTCAGTGTTTTGTATCTTTGGAACATGGGGGTACCAAATTGTGACTTAACCTATAAAAGGCTAAAGTTCTTGCACTTTTTTTTCTGAACTTTTTTTTAATAACCACAAGACAGTTTTCACAGAATCACAGAATGCTTAAGGTTGGAAGGGACCTCTAGAGATCATCTAGTCCAACCCCCCTGCTCAAGCAGGGACACCTAGAGCACCTAAGTTTTTTTTTTTTTCTTGGAATTTTACATCTGCATGGACAATTTCCTTGTGTACAGGTCATATACAGAAAGCTTTTGAAAGCAAATGCTAATTTACTTAGTCAAGAATCATTATAGGTGAAAACTGTGAAGTAGATTCTGGAGCACAACTGCACATGAAGAATTAAGACAACCAATCTTTTGCTGCATTAGAGTAGTTTTCTTTGTTAGTTCAGACACGTACATGAACTGTACTGCTAGACTTTATTGTTTATAGGGAGGAAAAAAAGAACTTAGATTGTTTTCCCCACTATAGATGCAATAGTTACAGATACTGGAAACTTGCTCACAGGATTTGAAAAAAGAACTTATGTTTTGTCCAGCTGTTGAAATTTCAACTTTTATTTTAGATACCACTTTATTCTTGGAAGCAAAATGAATTAGAAGCAGTTTTGGAAGAGCTAGAAAACTTGCCTGAAAAGTATGCAGGGAGACTTCAGTGCTCTTCAAACAATAGGATTTCTGCTGTAACTCATCAGATAATGTTGTTTTCGTATGCATTTTAGAAATACGCCTGTTCCTTCTCTCTGTATGTCTCAATCAAGAAAATGGACTATGCTATAGTCACTTGAATTGTCTTCCAGGCTCAGTTTGGAACTCTATCAGACTACTTCGAAGCTTTGCGCAAAGAAAGCAATTTGGGTGAAAAGAGCAGCAATTCATTTTTTCCTGTTTTAAGTGGAGACTTTTTCACATATGCAGACAGAGATAATCATTACTGGAGTGGATACTTCACGTCACGACCATTTTATAAGCGCCTAGATAGGGTTCTGGAATCCTACCTGAGGTAAGTACAGCCATCCTGTAAAAGGGATACACATATCTTCCATGTATTACATGTATCTGAAGGATGGAAAAGTAAATTTGAAATGCACACTTTAAATTTACATAAGGAATTACAGTAAAAATGACCTAAATGGCCTCTAAATATAGTTTTTTGGCAATGATTTGTCTATGTATGCTGCATGTTAGTTGATGCACAGAAATAGAGTGATATTTTTTCCATCCAAATAAATAACAGTTGTTTTAAAATAGTATGTAAGCCTTCAGTAATTCCTGATTTCATGAAAAATAACAGGCATTTTTTTTATTTCTGTATGAGATTTGGATAGCCTTCATATGAGTTTATGATTATGGCTATTGCGTGAACTCATTAATGCAGCAGTTCTGAGGTTCTCCCTTGTAGATGCTGTAGATGAGGTGTATTGTAAATAGATTTAATTATGGTTTAAGACACCAAAAGGACATGTGATACAAATCCGTATTTGGAAACAACTTCTATAAGATCTATGATCAATTTCTTAAATAGTGAATGTGACTTTTAGTCTTCTCTCTGAACTCGGAGAGAATAAGAAAACAGAAATCAAGGAATTTAGTGAAGAAGTAGATGCAGTATCAAGAAGTCTAAGAAAGTCATAAAGAGAAGTTGGATTGAGGGATTGAGAATGAAAAATATATTAGGGAAGAGACAATCTAAAAAGTCTTGAAGTCTTGAAGTATTGGATTGAGTAGGAAGGAGAAAGGGCTTTTCACATGTCAGAGCAAGGAGTAGTGAACTCAAAAAGTCACAGTAGATACAAGAAAAATTAGATCAAAATTGTGAAGGTTGATAACAAAAAGACTGGAGAATATTCCTTGTGCAAGAGAACACAAAAATAGTGAAGTAAGTACAAGTCACGAGAGAAGAAACTACAGCAGTGTTTCATCTTTGGAAAATGATCAATGCATATGTATGCATGCTGAAAGCTCTAGAAATTGATGTTCTGTTTCATGTTTTTAATTCTGTAAAAGTTGTTCAATATTGCTTTCACTGTTGGTTTTGTATTTTCTTCCTATTGTCTATGGTCATCTTATCTAGCATGGCCTGCCTGCTCATCAGGTGTTCTAACTCTTGCCTTCTGTTATGTGAGCCCTTCATTCTGTGCAGCATATGTGCTGCTTTCCTGAACATCTTCTATACATTCTTTTCTTTTTTTTTTTTTTAATCTCCTTGGAAATCTTCTTTTTTTATCTGTCTATAGGCTTACAGTTTTTTTAATTTTATAGGGCTGAATGTTGCTGAGATTTAAGGAGCAATATTTGGATGCAAACTGCTTTCTCAAGTGCTGTAAAATTAGATTTATTTTTATGCTTTATGTATCTGGAGGTTTTTTATATTTGTAGAAGTGACATTCTGGTGGTCTTAATTATGTTATCAATAAATAGTTGTATTTTATTAAACAGTTTATTGAGGAAAAGGAATATTAACCTGAGTGACCTGACTGGAAATGTTCTTTTTAGCAAAATTGGAGGATAGCCTGTAGGTTTATCATGTTAAATGATAAAAACGTATTTTAAAAATTAATATTTATATTAAAAATATCTATATATACAACAAATCAAACATTTTTATAAGACTTGTTCCTTTATTTGCATTATAGGTTGTTTTCTTAATGATGTCCAGTTCTGAGAAAGGAATTTTTACCAGCAGCGTATCAAAATGTTAAATTGATAAAAATGGTAAAACTGCAGGCTTCTTTATTTTTTGCAAAGGTGTTTTTAAATGCCATTCCTGAGATGATTTTTTTTTTAAATATTACCTCGTGTATTCAGACAAATAAGAGTAAATAACAAAAGATGTTGATACATTAATAATCTTAAAATTTAGCAAGATTTTTGAATGCAATTGTGACTCAGACTAAATCTACTCAATTCACACCATTTACTAGTGTCTTTGGTAGTTCTTTTTCTCAGCGCACCTATATGTACATTCTGTTCTTGATGTATTCTCTGTCTTTCCATCAGGATTAACACTTCTACGTAGTAGCCAAAAAAATTGCAGTGCAGTGTTCTATCTCAGGACCCACTTAGAAGAATATCTGCTTAAGAAAGAAAATAAGTTAGTTTTCTTTTTTTGTATTTTTCATCTTTTGTTTTTAACTGTTGGGTTTGTCCCTTTTCAAAGTTAGACGGTTTTCTAATGGAGATGGAGTGGTTGCTGTTTGGAGATAGAATTAGCTTCCTAATGCTAATGGAGAGGAGATGGATGGGTTTAAATAGCTGTTGAAGGGCCATGGAGTTACTGACATGAAGGGTTTTTTTTTTTTTGAATGTGATAATAGAAGGATGAAAAGATGAGCATTTTTGGAGATTTCTTAGGAAAACAGCCTGCAATTTCATTCATAATAGATCCAATCAGGGCAAAATTGTGTTAAGACTGAAAAAAAGTAAGATTAGTTGTGGCTGCAGTTTTAGCTGTAGAAACAGCCTGCACTTTGGGCTTTGGAAATACTTGTCAAACTTATTTAGGAGACTTATAAAAGTGGAAATGAAGATAACATAGTGTAGACTTCAGTGAAGCAGTTTTTGATCTATTCGCAAAATATTTCTTCAGGTAACATATTTTTTCAGGGACAAATTAGAATTAAGTCTGTGGTAACTGCTTTACGCACACTTCTAATCTCTAGTAGTTTGAATCAGAGGTGATGAATAGCAAAGTTTTATGCAGCTTTTTGAGATATATTAGAGGGATGTAAGGGCTTACTTTTATGTTGAAGTGTTCTCTAGCGAAGTCTTTCTTGTGGTTTTACTTCTGGGTATCTTTGACCATTGAGCCACGGCAATGTTTAGAATAATAATTGAATAATAATAATAATAATAATTGAAAGAAAAATCCTGCATCAAAGAGACTGCTGTATTAGTTAGATCTGTAAAATGGAATCAGTTTATTTTTCTGAAGTGCAAAGCAGTTCAAGTGTTCTTTTAAAGAAAATAGCTTTACAGTAAAGTTGCAGAAGCAGTATGAACTGAAGATGTAGGCCTATTATATTGCCATTGTGAGATTACTAGATAAAAGACCAAGTGGCAGCATAACTGGAATGAACTTGGCAGAGCAGATTGTTTTTGGGAAGTGAGAAGCTAGTGTTTATAGGAAATGGAGGTAAGTAGCAGTCATTTTCTGTTCTGATTTGTCACTTCAGTGAAAAGTCAACGCATTGAGAAATTTGATTCATACACCTTCTGTTCTTCTTGCGTGTTTACTAGTTAGTAGCTAATAGATTTGCCTTTGCTTTCTTTGCTTTTTGTAACAATAATCATCATTTTTATCAAGCTTTAGAGACTTCATTAACTAAAATAAAATAAAGGAACTGGACACCTTTTTATTTTCTTTTTCCCCTTAAAGGCAGGTTTTAGTAAGAAATGCTAGAAAATGTTGGCAGACAGATGGTTTGTGAAAAAAATTTCCACAAACATATTTTTGTTAGGCATTTCAGTATGATTGGCAATTAATGGTTTTGAAAAATACGCTTAAGATTCTTGTAAAACCACTGAAAATGTAAGACAATATTTTAGTACTAGAAGGGGAGGAGGGCTCTGTGTTGTGTTCAGTCTAAGGGTCTTAGAATCTTGTTGTTTCGGGGTTTTTTTAGCCAAATGTTTTGTGAACAGCTGAACGAGCTACCACTGTTGTTGGGGGAACTTTTGAGTGAAGTACAAAAGATAAAATACATACTACATAGAATCTACAGATAATACAGTTACTCATTTTTAACCTAACATTGCTTGTTTGATAATTTGTTTTATTGGTGTTTAATTGTACATATCCCAGTTTGTCCTTAATGGACCATTTTAAGGTCTAATTTATATACTTCATACATTTGTGAAGGTAGTTCGTTATTTTTGTACTGACATTTTTAGGTTATAGTTGTATTTCTCATCACTGAAGTCTTTCACAAAGTGAATGAGGTTTTTTAAAAAGATGAAGTGCAACAGGAGTTTTAACTGTTTAAAATAGCAATAGGCAAAAAGGTACAATTGATATACAAGGTAGATGTTTAAAGAACTCTTGCAACTAGGTACAAGGAAAATTGTGTGCAAACTTTTTTTTATCCCCAGGTAATATGTGTGTTGTTTTTTCCTTTCTAAAGAATATAAATATATGATTTTTCTCTACAATTTCAGGTCAGCTGAGATCCTGTACTCCTTGGCTTTGGTACAGTCCAGTAATTCTGACAAGATGAGCACATTTCCTTCAGTGGATCACTATAAGTTGCTGACAGAGGCTAGGAGGAACCTTGGACTCTTTCAGCATCATGATGCCATTACAGGAACAGCCAAAGATTGGGTAGTTGTAGATTATGGCACAAGGTAATCTGTCATAAATATTTAAATGTAACACAGTCACACATTTGCTATGTTCAGCAACATAATCTGTTGTTAGTTCATGTGAATAAATCATGATATTTTTACAAGAATGGTGGATTTGATTCGCTTTACTCCTATGAGTTATGAAATATTTTCCTACTCCTATAGAATAAAAATCTAAAAATCCTGTTTATTTCCAAACAAAATTTCTCTGAGGTTTCAAAATAAATTCTTAATTATAAGGCTGTTATTTTGGGTAGTAACTGTTATGTATACCATATCTGTCTGTGTAGAGATGCATTAATCAAGAAACACTGTCCTGCTTTCTCCCCATAACCTTCCCACCCTCAGCCTTGAAAATCTCTCTCACACTGTCAATATTCTATTTTATTTGTAATATTACTTCATTTGTGTTGTATCCTCTAGGTAAGCTGCTTTCTCAGTATTTTGAGTAATGGCAAAATATTTCAGTATGTAGTGAAATTCTTTTTGAAATATATGTGTTATGATATGTGACGGGGTAGCTACCTTTACCTTTAAGGTAATCATGCTTTTGTTTAGGAAATTCGTACATATTGGAGTATTAAGCACTGCTAGACCTGGTGAATTGAAGTCATAATGGCAGAGCATGGCCATTAAATAAGTCATTATCTAAAATGTCTTTAGCACATTCTATTTTTTTTTCTTAAGCTGCTATATTAATGGCGAATATTTTTAAATTACATAAATGTCCTTTTTAAAATATCAATTTAATGTCTATTAAAGCATCTAGTCAAGGTAATAACATGTGCAGTGCACTTATCTGGCTAGGGTTTAATAAAATAGTGTCTTTCATTTTAGAGTATAAAGGTGTGCAGCTGTGTATTTTTATGAAGTCAAAAATCTCATATCAGTTGAATCAATGGAAGTGTTGATTATTGCTTAAATGTGTTATTTCTGTGTTTGTGTTGGCTTCTCTGACTCTGATTACATTTTCAGGCCTGCTGTCATTAGTGTAGGAACTGACAGTCAAATATATAAAACAGAGTGTCTGGTATTCTGGAGGCATACATTTCAACAGTGGGGTGGAGATGTATCTAATTTTCAGGTTGCAAGATAGGAATGTAATGAAAATACAGAATATTTCCACATTTTGCAATCTGGGCAGCAGTTCTTCTAAACAACTGTTCTTAAGCTGATGTTTCATCAGTATTAGAAATTATATTTCTCTTCCCTTAACTCTTATTTTTGGTATTTCTGTTTTTGGAGGTTTGTCACTCTGATTAAAGACAACTTAGGATAACTAACGCTATTTAAAAATTTTAACAGGCTTTTCCATTCTCTAATGAACTTGAAGAAAGTGATAATTGACTCTGCTCATGTTCTTATCCTAAAGGATAAAGATGCTTATAATTATGATGCTTCAACCCCATTCCTTAAAGTGGTGAGTTATCTTTCTTGATATTTTCCAAAACTAAAATTTGAATACCAATATATATTCAATACAATTTTGCCTGGGATTTTCAATCAGACTGAAGTTGACCATTAGTATGTACTGAAAAATATGTTACATATCACTGCTCACTTTAAAGGGACATGTTGGAAAATAAAAAAGGAAAACTTATTCTATAAAGAGCTGAGGAAGAGCTGTTTCCAGTTTCTGAAACACACAGTAAATACAGTTGTCTTAATTTTCATGCATTTGTTGGTGATTTCAGCAACGTGCATTATGTATACATAAATATACACTGTAAAGCGTCATGCAGTTTTACTTTGCTTGTTGCTTAAGAAATACAAGAAGAAGTAAATTTCTGTCTTGGTGGAATATGAGCCCAGGCTGGATTTGCAAGACCAATTACAGATAAGACCTTGACCTTTTGAAATGGGAGTCTACAGAGAGCAAAATCAGCAACAGATCCTGCCTGGAGAGGTTGTGGAGTCTCCTTTTCTGGAGATCTTCCAAATCCGCCTGGATGCCACCCTGTGCCCCGTGTTCTAGGTGTCCTTGCCTGAGCAGGGGGTTTGGACTAGACCATCTCTAGAGGTGCCTTCCAACCTTTAGCGTTCTGTGTGATATGTCATTTTGAGATCTGATTTACATAGGGGAACGTTAAAGAAGCACACTTGCTGATATTGTTCTCTGTTAAAATGCTTCCTTTTTTCACTTTGCAATCAAAGACAGTTTACTATGATATCTAGGTAGTCTTAGGAAGTACTACACGTGGAATAGATAGGAAATGAGATATTTCAACGCTTTTGCGCATTAACACAGCAGAATTAAAACAGTTGTTGATACATGATTATGTGGTACTTCCAACATAATTAGTGGTGGTAGTACACCGATGTATATGGCTAAGATATATGCCTGTTGTGATATCTTAGATTAGTCTTCCAGTTGTATAGGTTGAAAAAAAAAGTGGAAATAGTCATTTATATCTCTGTGACTTTGGTATGATGTTAATTATTTATGCATTCATACTGGCTTATATATTTTTTTTCTCATGATTGGAAAAAGACTAACAAAACAACTATGTACCTTAAAAAAATTTCTCATTCATGGAATAAAGAAAACTATTCAGTTTAAATATGTGCTCTTAATTATATTGGAGAGTATTGTGACGTGGCATTTTGCTAAACTTTCATTATTCCTGTGCTGTATTAGTTTGTAGGCTATTACTGGATTATGGAGCAGCAATTCATGTTTAAACTGTATGTACCATGTAGGGACACACTCATAGGCAAGAACACCATTAAATTATCATTGTGGAAGCACAGATCCCAGAGACCATGCTTAGGTATATGCTTTTATAATCTCTGTATAAGTTGGGAAAAAACAGCTGATTATCTGTTTGTATGGTAACTGCAAAATAGCAGAAGCCTGATATTTCTGCGATTTTGTACATACCATGATAAAAGGTTCTTAGAGGGTGATTTAAAGACTGCTAGTGGGAGAATTTTCAAGATCTTTGCAAAGAGCTATTTACAAACCTTGAGCAAGTAGAAAGTCCAAGGATGCTTATTCTAAAATATTGTCAAAAGTAGCTGATGGAAGCCGATACCATGGGTTGATCAGGGGTGGCTGTTCAGAATCAATGTGAAGAGAGTCAAGGAGCACAAATGATAATGCTTCATGGATGGAAGCAGATATTGCCTGTGAAAGGAAAAGGAGTCAAAGAGACATAGTTCAAGAAACAGGCCAATAGCACTGAGGTAGATATACTCAGGGAGAAATGGCACTCCTTGGTGTCAGTGGAAAGAGGTTGCAAATAATAGACAAAAGGAGGATCCCAGAAGAATGCTGCTTGCCATGTTTTCAGCTGTTCTTAGTTTTTAGTTATATATGGAAGCATATGGCTTTCTCAGCTAGTATTTATGTGCCTACTAGATTACTGGGGAAATCATAAAACTTCTGCAGATTTAAGTTAGTAAACAAATTAAACCTATATTGCTTGGAAGAAAATATACTGAGAAAGAATATGGTTTAGAAACCCTAAGTGATCTGAGATCCACACTATAAAGTGTAATGTTGGCACTGATTGCACTAGAGTTCATGTATTCTAATCTTATTTGAGTGGAGCTAAGGGAGAATATATTAAAGCGAGTTAGCAATGGATTTGAAAAACAGGACTTCGAGGATGTTTTGCAGTAGTCTGAGGAACTGGGGTCTTTATACTCTGCTTCCAAAGTCTGCAGTTATAACAGTTACCACTGAACACATATGAATACAACAGTGAATTGATTACTAGAATTTCCTTTAAACTAGATTGTGTTATGGGCTCAATTTTATTTCAAGATGTGGAGAAATAAAAGTAGGACTGTGCACAAAGTTTTAGATTGCACAGTTATTGCTAGTAAGCTCAGTACAGGGATAGGACAAACATAATGTTAAGGTAAGCATTAATATATTCACCATGCATATACCAAATCTTTATAAGCCAGTCAGTCAGTATGACTCAGAAACAGTGGCTTTTATTGCTTCTTGGAGTGAGCCGAAGCTCGATTTTGGGGAGTTTTCTTGTTCTTTGCACAAGAGTTTTCTTTCCTAAGACTTTTCTGTGTTTTTCTTTTCCATAATGTTGCATTTTATTTTAAATTTTAATAATGAGTATCAATTTAGGAATCTTACTCCTGTATTTCATGTGTTTCTGCTTCATCTTCCATAGGTTTTTGGTTTATGTGTTATCTTGCTTAGAGACTAAGATAACAGTGAGAGCAGTGGTTCATTTTTATCTCAGTAGAACTGAGCTCTGGGTCATGGTGTACTTAAGAGTACTAAATAATAAATACTTTCCAGTGCTATTATACAATTCCCTTCTCAGTTTATAGGAACAGTAAAATTAACTGTTTTCTTATTTCAGTCCTTAATTTACAAACTTCATGAATTTTTATCTTAACATACAAAAAAAAAAATCATTTTGAAGAATGTGAGATTGACGTATTCTTGTGTAATGGTAAAATAGACTTCTATTTATGATGTGACTAGCATGGTTTTGTATTTCCTAAAGCTCCTGTGTATTTAATGTACATCAATCTGCATTCAAAAGCAAATTCAAGGGTGTTCTGTTGTAGGATGATGTGCAGTCCTCGCAAGATTCTCTGCCGCACAAGACAGTTATAAAGCTGACTTCGCAGCCGAGGTAAACGAGTACCCTACTACTCAGCGTCTGAGATTGCGTGTTTTTTTCATTACTTGATATTTGTTATGTCATGTTACTGTTCTAACTTTTCACTCAAAATAATGGCAAAATGTAATTTAGCATGTTATGCTAAAATTAGTGTGTTTTATTTGAAATAGAGCACAAAACTTTCTCCCAGATATCCCTAATTCGTCTGCACAAAGTATAGCAGTCTTTTTATGTGGCTTTTTCAGTATTATAATGCTTAATAAATTATTCCTGAAGCTCTAACTGAAAATAATTACATATGGGTGAATTAATATTGTGGGGGAGACTTGCAGTTTTTGTAAGCCCAAGTCTGGACTTACAGATAGATTTATAGATACTGTATTGCATTTAAATTGAGGTAGAAGATCAAATAGGAATATATATTTTTTGTTAACTCTGCCTTTCTAAATATTAAGAACACTTATTTCATTATTAATATGTAGTTCCAGAACTCTCAGTCACAAGTGACTGAAATAGTCCCTGAGAACATTCCCTATCCATCCTGTAAATGCATTCATTAAAAAAAAAAATCTCAGTAAGTTGATGGTAACATCCAAATAAAATAAGACACATGGATATGAGACCTGTTGTGTGGCAGGATTCATTTTAAAAAGTGAGCATTATTTTTGCTGAGATTTATATTTAATTTATTTAATTTCTGTAATTTTAGCAATTGCCAAGGTAGTAAAGCTTTCTGGCAAGGTAGTAAACCTAACTCTTGAAGTTTACATTCTGTTGGAATGCTTGTTACTCTTCAACATTATTAATCATATTCTTTGGAAAAAAATAGTATTTGTACAAATTTCAA